CGCCCGACACTGAGGCCGCGGGCTCTGCCTCGCCTGACCCCTGAGGGTTAGCTCCGCCTCGCCCGACACCGAGGCCACGGGCTCCGTCTCGCTCGACACCGAGGCCGCGGGCTACGCCTCACCCGACCCCTGAGGGTGGCTCTGCCTCGTCCGACGCCTGAGGGCAAGCTCTGCCTCATCCGACCCCTGAGGGTTGGCTCTGCCTCGCCCGACATTGAGACCGCGGGCTCTGCCTCGCCCGACCCCTGAGGGTGGCTCCGCCTCGCCCGACACCGAGGCTGTGGGCTCCGCCTCACCTGACCCCTGAGGGTGGCTCTGCCTCGCCCGACCCCTGAGGGTGGCTCCGCCTCGCCTGACACCGAGGCCCACGGGTCCGCCTCGGACCGCGAGGGGTGGCTCCGCCCTCGCCTGACACCGAGGCGAGGACTGGCTCGCCGACCCCGAGGGTGGCTCGCCCCTAACACCGAGGCCGTGGGCTCCGCTCGCCCAACCCCCGAGGGTGGCTCCGCCTAACACTGAGGCCGAGGCTCCGCGCCGGGCCTCGAGGGTGGCTCGCCTCGAACACCCCGAGGGTGGCTCCGCCTCGCCCGACCCCCGAGGGTGGCTCCGCCTCGCCCGACACCGAGGTCGCGGGCTCCGCCTCGCCTGAGCCTTGGGTTTGCACTCCGCCTCACCCGGCCTCTGAGGAGAAACTCCGCCTCGCCCGACCCCGAGGCTGGGGGCTCCGTCTCGCCCGACGGAGACCCATTCCGCCACCAACCACTCTAGGTCCAAGCGTATGGGCCTGGATTAAAGCTCTGACACCAGGGAGGTGACCGGCACGCCCCGATATAACCCGTGGCCATGACGGGCCATACCTGAGGATTCACATCAGGAACAGCGTCGGGCGAACCGGTACTGTTCTACCTAACCCTCGTACGAACACTGACAGGCGCGTCAGTTTGCCATGACGTCCGCCAGAACGGAGTGGAGCGCCACGACCGGGAGACGACGCCTGCGCATGGCGCTAGTGACGGACAGGACCGCGACGTGAAGCTGTCCCTATTGACGTCTACAGGACTGGCGAGATCCGTATAGAAGAGAAGAAGAACCCGGCGATCCTGAAGAACTTCTTCCTCTCGTTTTCTTATCTTTCTTCACTGTAACCCGTGCTTTTCCTTGGCCTATAAAAGGAAAGTCAGGGCATCCCATTAGGGAGCATCGGACAAACGATCGTATCGAAACTCATCGCAACACACCACAGGTGACTCGAATCCGATCAACTCATCAAACCCCGAACATATAACCGAACAGCGACCGAGCTCTCGGTACCCGTTTACCCTTTCCATCAGAGACTTGGGACAAGTCCCTCTCTCGTCCGTTTGTAACCCCTACTATGAACTTTCAGTGCTAGTAACACGAGCAGCAATGAACTGGACATAGAGACATTCTGTCTGAACCAGTCTAAACCTCGTATTCTCTTAGCACATCATCCAAGACAGACCCACAATATTAAAAACTTACTTATTGATGATAACTCTAAACACCGACAGTGAGACACGGGAGAGGATAGGGACGAGAGAGGGCACGCATTGCGGGAGAAGACGTAAATAGAATGCGCTCTGGACCAAGGAATTGGGCTTCCTAAGACTAGCCACAGCGTCGTCGGTGCTCAAAAAATTCTCTCTCTGCCACCTCTACCGATGCCACAGTTCTTTCTATCCTCACAGCGTCGGCACCGGTGCCTTCTGCTAGGTGGACCCCACATCACAGAACCAGCTCCGGGAGAGAGAGCGTGATTTGACATCGATGCTTGGACATGATCCGGTGCCGAATATTTTTCCCAACTCGGCATCGGCCGCAGTGGTGGGCACCGGGCTTGCACCTTCTCTCTCCTTTTCAAGCACCGGTAAAACCATACATTGTGGCCAGTCTAATCTCTGAGGTACTCGCCAAGGCAACGTAACGGAGAGACACTGACGCCTCGCTGGAATCAGCGCCAATGCACTGAAAGTGCCAAATACATGCATCCAGCAAGTCCCCTTGGCTTGAAGTTCAGGCGCTGTGGAGACAGGAGAGCATGGCCGAGGTGGAGCAAGACAGGCCTGGAGCAAGATGCAGACAGGGCCGCAGCAAGGCCGAGCATGCCGGAGGCGGAGTACATGACAGGTTGCAGCATACGGTTGGGATGTAGTCACGCGGATCCATTCGAAATTAGTGATCCCAAACAGGCCGGCGCCGCGGGCACCGGTGAGCCCCTGCAGGCTTCAGGCGGCGGTGAGCCCTTCCCTAGATCCATGCTGCTTTCAGTTCGTCCGAGAGAGGGAGAAAGAAAGAAGATGTCAGGCAAACTTAGGACACATTGGAATGACCAAATTACCCTTAATTATTTTTAATTAATAAGAAAAAAATCCATGAAGAGGCCCAAGTACCGTAACAAACCTCGTTTGTTTTTATCAACTTATATGTAATACTGTGCCACACGGGCTCTATTACTGTAGCTCCACTGCTCAGTACTCTCTCCGTTCGGTAAGACTGTCTCTGCCAACCACGACCCAAAATATAAGACTCGTTCGTCTCGTCTTTTGGGTAGCGCTACAGACAAAGAGTTCCGTACTTATTTTCGGTCTTCTCTGACAACAAGACCTCAAAGACAACCCTTTCTGCAAATGGGTCTCTAAGAGAAAGGATACTCAAATTTAGGTTATGTCTTTTTTATCATCTAAAATAGGTCTTCCATAGGATATAAGCACTGTGCGGAAGACCTATTTTAAGTTTAGGTTGGGTAATAGGTCTCGACAGCATAAGAACTTATAGGATGCGTCTGGTACAGTGAAAAATGGCATATTAATTGCAGGAGTCTCTCACACCATGGCCTCCAATTTGAACGCACAAATCTGGACAACCACGCCGCGTTTCAGACTAAGACCGGACGGCTGGGTGGACGGGGGGACCGCAGCAGCGCGCGCGGCCTCCCCAGCCGCTGCTCTGACGCGCAGGCGCGTGCGCCCGCCAGCGCCCCGGCGCGGCCACCGCGAGCGCGGGGCGGAGCTGCAGCGCACAGGCGAAGAACAGGGGGAGGCATCGGGTGTGGGGCCGAGGATTTTGGACTGCGATCGATGGGAGTGGCCGAGTGGGAGGTGCAGGTGCCGCCGTGCCGGGACGAGGAGGAACCTGAAGGGGCGCTCGCTCTCAGTTGCGCGCTGCCACTCGACTCGCATCGTGGATTTGGGGAGACAAAGGAAGTGCTGGGCTCGGAGCCTCCTCGGGTGGCCCGCGACGTGGCCTTCCCTCTTCCGCGGCTCCACGGGCCACCTTGGCCGGCTGGTCCAATCTCCAATCTGCTGCCGCAATGTTGTTAAAAAAAATTAAAATCGGATCCTCTAAATAGGATCAAAATAATTTAAATCATAGAATTAAAAAAAAAAGGCCCCTTAGTCAGGAACGTAAAAATTTTTACGATGCATTGTGATCTTGCCAGCTATGGTAGCAGACGCCGCCTTCAGTTGTTTGCTCAATCAAACAAATTGCTTGGATCGAGCCCTGCACTGAGCTGCTAAAAGCAAACTACAGTACAGTACCACTAAACAACAACAATCAACGATGTGGACAGACACAGCAACGATTATCAACAACTGCATGACTTGCATTATCAGCCACAAGGGGGGCCGTTGAGTAAACACAGTGCATTAACAACGGCTAAGCTGACCAAGTCAACACAACGACTGCTGTTCTTTCTTCTTTGCCCCCTTACCAACAACTGCATGCCATGCCACACTGGCTACTACATCGAACAAAAACCGTTCCCCTAACAGCAAACACTGGTTCTAGTGCACTGTACACATCTGCTCTCACCACAGCAAGGGCTGATTCACCACAAAAGCAGCACATCTCCCCTTACCCATGGATGTTGGCACTCATGAGTTGTCACCTCCTCTGCCTTTTTGATTCAGCCTGCGATTGGCAAGCAGCCAAAGGGGAACACACATATATCAGCAAAACGGTGATAGAAAGCGAAGGATTTTTTTTTTGTGTCGTTCAATTAACAATATGTCCCGTGCGCCAGTGCCTACTAAAATTGTAGCAAATAAAATACATTTATATTGCTGTGTTAATCTAGTTACATAGGCTGGTTGGTGGCAGACACAGAAATTATAGATTCACTGCCTCTCTTTTTTCCTTTATGCGCACTATGGCTTAAAGGAAAAATAAACAGACTTGCTCTAGTATCAGTCCAATAATCAACCACACCTACACCAAGGATCTTATTGGCAGCTACTGTGGCTTTATTGGCAACTACTGTGGCTGTGCTTATCACTGTTTCTACGGTATCTTGAGTCTTGCATTCATAACAGAAGAAGCGGCTGCGGCTGTAAATAATGGATACCGAACATGCCCACGGTTTTGGTCCAGATTATGGAGTTAAATTGAATAGTGTTTATATTCATGAGGCACAAGCAACAGCAGCCTAGATATATAATCTTCTAAAAATAGCATGAAGCTCCAGTCCATGAAGGCTCAGAAATAAGCATAGTGAAGGTTTTGGTGCAAATCATGGGGTAAAGTGTTGATTAGTGTCTGGATACATTAATATTCATGAGGAGCAAGCAACAGCAGCCTGGTTATCTAATAATCTAAAGCATCTTCTTCAAAAAAAAAAATGCATAAAGCACCCATGAAAGCTTAGAAATAAGCAGCAACAACCTACATATCTAAAGGATCTTCTAAAAATTGCATAAAAAACCAATCCATGAAGGCCTAGGAATAAGCATGCATCCGTGTTCCAGTAGAAATTATGGAGTAAGGTTGAATAATGTCTGAATACATCGACTTTCATGAGGCATAAGCGGCCTAGATATTTAAAACATCTTTCTCAAAGCTGCATGCATGGTACAAACCAAAGATTATGTTTCGGGTGATTTCATCAAAGCAAATAGAGAAATGAGAAATGCCTTCTTGAATGTTTGCTAAGTCATTACAACAGGATGAACATGAAATTGTTGGGAAACAATGGCAACATCTCAAAGAACACCAAAAAAAATGAACCCAATAACCTAGAGACACAAAAGATTAAGATTAACTATTTGGAAAAAAAGAAAATACCTAAAAGTATATATAAAAAATAAACAATTAACTTACCTTGGGCTCAGAATTTGGTGAAGTGGCATATGCATTTGAAAGTCTCTTTGAACCATTTTCTTTCAAACAGTCTGAGCAAACAAAGTGATCTAGCTTTTTGGCCTGTTCAATGGTCATAGACATGCAAGATGGATGGAACCTGTGTATCATAGGACATGAACAAGGTAGGAACACAGTAACATATGTTAATAGAACAGTAATGGCAGCATAAAAGGTACAGAGAAAAGTAAATGTTTTAGATACAGAAAATTGACATCTTTAGGTTTATTTGCAAGTTCCTGAGTCCTGTGACCTCAAATATCCTCTGGAAGGAAATCCAAACAGATTTTCAATTTTATTTAAAAAAGGTTAGGTGATATGACAAGCAAGGTCAATGCATATTGCGTCAATAACATGCATGCCATGGTTTCAAAGGCGACTAGGCATCCACCGCATGGACGCCAAGGTGGTGCCTAGGCAACAAGGCACCACTGTTCCCCAAGGCAAGCTGGGTACACCTAGGCGGCGCCTTTGAAACAGAGATGGATGCCGATTTTGCACTTCTATAGTTCTATTGTAACGATCATATATGATTCCCATAGGATGACAAAGTTTTTTTATTCAAGTAAATGGCACCTAAACTCGTAAAGCACTACTGTCAGTGAAGATTCAAAACAAATGGGGCATAAACATCATGAATGAAACATGAAAAATCTACAGGTTGTAACAATTCTCTTAATACAGCTATAAAAATCTAAATATACTGGCAGTCTGGCACACAATCCTGAATCCTCTAGCACCCAATTGTATACAGTGTCATGTATAAGATTATGAATTTTAGATGAAATGGTGTTGTCCTTCAAGACAAAAGCAAAAGTTCAATTCCTAAACTGTCCTATTTGGGATCATATAGGGCTAGAGATATTTTCCCTAGCATATACCGATTGGCTGTTTGGATTTGAGCATCTACCAATTGCAACCAACGAGCAGCTGGGCCATCAAAGTGCATTTTACCCAAACCCAAACAGAGTCGCCAACCCCATAGATAGTATTTCTCACAACACGCTTGTCCAATACACGGGTTCTCGCCGTTGAATTTGGGAAACTAGAGCTTAGGTAGGTGGTCAGTTGGATATTGCAGTGTGGACAATGGCAGGCGAACGCCAGACCATAACAGGACGAGAAGAGGAATTAGGAAGAGGAAGCGAGGACGTACCCTTAACCAGGACATGAGTCCAGGTCGTGACGGCCCAAACCCAATATCCTGGTCATGTTGAACCGACACTGGGCCCATGGGGCGAGGTGGCTCAAATCCCGGTAGGTGAGCATGCAGCAGCCATGGAATGTGAACTCATCACCCCCGGGTGGTGCAAAATTTTGTCGAACACCATGCGGTCCCTAGTGCTTCGTCAGCTTGTTCACCTTGAGGTTCAGATCATCGACAACGGCCTCCACTTCTAGGCACCAGGTGCCGAGATCCGTGACGGCGGCTTCCAGGGCGGCGATGCGATCGCGCTCGGCATTGACGTGTTCAGAGCGATTGTTCTCTTGTAGTTCGATGGCGGCATCACAGTCGTCTCGGGAGCGCTCCAAATCGACTAAGCAATGCTCCCACTTGGCGTCGTGCTCGATGAAGCACCTAGCAAGCTCATCAATGATGGGCTTCGTATTGGGCTCCATCATGCCAGGAACGGGGGCGGAGCTGGACCGCGCGTCGAGGGTAGAGTCGGAGCTCATCGGGGCCGGCTGCGCTCGTTGGGGCCTGGGCAGAGCTAGACCTCGCTGGAGCTCACCGGGGCCGGCCACGCTCTTCTTCCTCCCCTCCGCCGCAGGCAAGCGCAAGCGAGCTCGGCCACGCACGCTCCTTCCTCCCCTCCTCCAAGGCTCCGCCGACACTCCTTCCCTCCTCTGTCAACGCTCCTTCCTCCCCTCCTCCACTGGACCTCGCCGGCGCCTAGCCCGCGCTCTCTTCCTCGTGCTCCTCATGCACGCCTTCAGAGCGCCCGTCCGCCATTTTTTGGGGCGAGTTGAGCCCAAATCTGAAGGGAATATTCCCTAGTGGGATCGTCCTGTCTCTAGATGACTCCAAACCAAACACAATACAAGGTGGGATATCCCACCTGGGACCATCCCATCCCTGGCCGCTACAGCCGGAGATCGCGGCTGCTCATAGCAGCGGCTAGGATAGTTGACATTTAGCGCTATGTGATCAAAGGTGCTAATAGCCGGATTTAGCGCGCGAAATCCGCTAATCAAGGTGTGATTTAGCACCGCTTACATTGTTGAGACTCGCCATTCCTCACAGGATATCCGTCGGAACGCTGCCAGCAGCGGGCTGAGACCTTCTCTACTGTCTGCTGCAGCTACAAGAGAACCTCCTTGTCCAGCATCATCCAATTCCAGCTCTCCACATTGGCGCACAACAGCAGCAGCAACAGCCCCACTCGATGCTGGTTCCCCCCTCTGCACGTAGAAGCACCAAGCTCCGATCAGTGAGGTGCTCCGACCACTGGCGGCGTGCCTCTCATCCTCCGCTCGCCGCTTGCTGGCCCACCACCTCTGTGTCCCCAAGCCCCTGTGATGTGTGCTCGAGCTCCTCCGCGATCTAGGAGAGCACTGGTCCCTGCTGCGTCATGGCCATCTCACCCACAACGCTCTCCCCAAGTGCAGCCATGAGCATATGCGACGGAGGGCGCAAAGTCCTCCCCGGCGCCAATGCAGCAGAGGCCGTTTTGCAGCAGAGAGTGAACAGTGGAAAGCAAAGAGTGGCAGAGTACGGGCAAAACAGAGTTGGGCAAGGAAATAGATAAAAGGTGTGAGCATCAGTGAGAACTTGTGGACGAGATGGACTAAAGAGGTGGGTCTGGGTGGTGCGTTCAGCACTGTGTTGTAGCGGGTATAATAGCAGCGATTAGCAGCTATGGCGGCTCGGTGATGATGCCGCTACACTCAATATCTGGAGATTTAAAACATTGCTTTGTACAAGCACAGAATAGACGACGGAACAAAGGTAAATATCAGTGAAATGTAAATTGCAAATCATGGAGACAAATGTACCAGTCCTTGCAAGCGTCGCACTGCACCATGAGGTCATCGGGGTTGTATGGCATCTCACATTTGCAATACCTTGAGAGAAAATACAGACACCCAAATTATCACAAGCAGGCTCAAAATGCATGCACAGAAAAGGAACAGTCAACAATGAAAGGATTGAGGAGCTTCGTACACTGCCACGCGGTCAGGGATGAACGAACCGGTGGCCGCCTTGTACTCGAATCGGCAGAAGAAGTCCTCAGGCCCGACATTGTCAAGCTTGGTGTAGTTCTTGAAAGAGTGGACAACACACTTCCCCTCAATGGTGTGTGCGCTCTGCAGGTCGAAATGGTCGGAGAGGAATAGCTCCTTGGCGCCGTGGAACTGCCGGCGGCCGCCCTTGGACTCCTCGGGGCGGTAGTACCAGCGCACCCGCACCCGTACGCTGCCGCGCCCGTCGGCCTCCATCTTCTCCACCCGCGCCACATACGGCTGGTTGTCCGAGTCCGACGCCCGCATCAGCACGCAGTCGCCCACTTCCCGGCACAGACATTGCAGCAGCATCAGATACCTCTCACGGGAAAAACAGATACAGCCGGATCGGGGGTGCGGGAAATTACCATGGACGACCTTGTTGGTGCCGCGGACGGTGTACGAATCCACGTCCTTCTTTCCCTGCTTCGTCTTCGCCATGGCCGTGGAGCGAGGACCGATTTGGAGAAACAGAAACCCTAGCAAGAGGAGAAACAGAAACCCTAGCAAGAGGAGAAAAGGGGAGCGGAGCAGAGGCGGAGAAAGAGTGGTTGCTAATGGGGGCGGAGCGGGGAGAAGGGAGAAAGCAGTTTTGGGGTAGCCAGGGGAAATCCACTCCCAATCTCAACTTTTTTTTTCTTGAACTTTACTAGAGCGTGCGCATGCCAAAAAAAAAAATCCAATTTCCTCCTACACACTATAATTTAAAAAAGAAATTATTTTGGTTGCCAAAAAAGAAAAAAAAAACAGACCCTGACTCCGACGCCCTCGCCCCTGCCGCCGGCCATCGCACCACCACAGGCGCTAGGGTTCGTCGAAGCTCTAGCGAGCTAGGGCCGGTTGCAAAAAAAAGGAAAAAAAACAGACCCTTGACTCCGACGCCCTCGCCCTCGTCGCCCCACCGCAGGTGCTAGGGTTCTAGCGCCTCTTCCCTCTCCTCCCACCGCCACCATCTTCTCCGGCTCCAGCGAGCTCGCCTGCCGCCATCTTCTCCAGCTCGAGCGAGCCTCCCTCGCCCTGACCTGGTACGAAACCGCCCCTGCCACTGTCAGCTCCCATAAACCGCCCATCGACCATCCCCGCCGCCTCGCCTACCTGCCTCCCCCGGTCGGCCATTTTATAGCCCACCGGAGTTGGGGAAGATAGGGGAGAGCTCGCCGAAACCCTACAAAGAGATGAGAGAGGAGAAAGAGGAGGAGGAAGAGGAGGACAAGGAGAGGCCTACCTGCCGTCGGATCTGGCGGATCCGCCGCTGTAACACCCTAAAATTTCCTTATCTTGAAATAGAGCTAAAATAATTTAATTTTGTATTTTTATGCTCATGAAAATATGGAGAAATAATATATTTTCATTAGATTAAAATTTATCTTAAGGTAGAAACACGTTTGTTGCATTCATGCCGGTCGCACCTTATGTTTCTATGTGCAAAATGTGTTTTTTTAAATACGTTTAGGAGACGAATATCTATCTCTAGGAATTTTTCAGCTTCTTTCTAGAATTTAATTCATACCTCCTTCACCTTAATTTTTATGTTTCAAGTTTCCCAACAATCTTTTCATGAGGTCCAAATACTTTATTTGGGTTCATCATGTTCCAAAGTTTCTCTGGAAATTTTTCCCAAATTTTCAGAGGTCTCGGAATATTTTTCGTGGCTTAAATATCAATTCTGTACTTTTCTAAAATTATTTTATTCATGAAATTAATTAATTCCTAAATATAAATAATATATCTCATTTTCCATCCAACTCTCAAAGCCCATGTACAATAATACTAATAAATTCTAAAGACCCATACATTTATTTACTAATGGGCTTTAATGATTATTTAGGCCTATTAGTAAGTAGGGATGGTGCAACATCAATTAGTACCATATTGCTAGTTGATGTAAATATGGGGAGTTTTTCTCCCAATAAATATGTACCAACCCTTTGGGCAAACCACACCAAAACTACCATAAGGGGAACCCCTAGTTTGGAGAATCCCTCGTATACTAAATTAGATTTTTCTCCTCTCGCCGTCGTTGTCGCCGCCGCGCTGCCCGATGTCGTAGACCCGTCGTCGACCGCAAGAAGGTCCTAGGTGAGTTCGCCGTCTTCTTCTCTTGCTCTGTGCTCTCGGCTCATCAAACCGTGGCCTCTAGGGCTCAAACCAAGCGCTTCCGGGAGCTTCTCGTCGTCGGTAATGGAGCTCCGCCGCGCCGGTTTTCTTCTCCGGCTAGAGACTCTCTCTCCCCCTCCTTTCTAATCTGGGCCGTCCAGATTCAATCCAACGGTCCAAGATCGTTCGTACCCCTTCGTCGGATTTATTTGTAAAAGAGCCCCTACAGTTTCGCGTAATATAACCCGTAGTCCATGGCGTACTTCTAGAATATATTTTCCTATTCTGAAAGCATAGTTTCTTTCTAGTAGATTCAGAATACGTTTTCTCTTTTAGAAAACGTAAAATCCCTCTGTTAGATTCAGAATACGTTTTTTTCTTTTGAAAACGTAGTTTTTTCGGTTAGATCCAAAATACGCTTTCATCTATTTATAGTTTTTCCACTAGTATTATTTAGGCCATAAAATCTTCGTTTTAACTCTGTTTTGATCTATTTAAGTTGCGTTACATTTGTAATTGAGTAATCTACATGTTCATCCTACTGTTAAATATATTTTTAACTTTTGAAATTCGAGGTTAGATTTAATCTATTATTTTATTAAAGAAAATCTTATTTAATTCATAACTTTTTCGTTATAGCTCCAATTAGAGTGTTTTTCACGTCTGTGTGTTCGTAGCGAGACGTAGATTTGTTTTACAAACTTTTCATCTTGATTTTATGTTTGGTGTATTGTTCTAATTTAGATCTATTGTTTGCTTCGTGTATGATTACATGGATGCTTATGTGGTGCTTTATGATCATGTCCAGTCGGTGAAAAGTACGTTGATGAAATAGAAGAAGTTGGTGATTCAGAAGAAGTCTTTTGAAGGTTACAATTCAGTAGAAGAAGGATCCGAGTTTTAAGACAAGTATAGTATGGGATCATCCTTGTTGTCCTATTCACCTTAATATCATTTTAATCATATGCATGTGTCTACCTTGGCAACCGTAGTAATTTTCTAGCTATTTGGTATCCTAGATTTCTTGATTCCTATAGATTATTGCATTGGGTAGTATGATGCTAGTGCTCAACTACAACCATAAACTTATAATTTGACTAATGGAATATGTAATAAACATTAAAAGATGCTTTTTAGCAACATGGAATCAAGGGGCTAGAGCATTGGGCCATTTTATGGTGCTCTAGATTCATCTCCCTAAGGACTTATCTATAAGCGAATATCCGGGGCTTACAGTACAGATGTGAGGGCTACATGGCTCTAGCTTTAGCTCAGTATGAGGACCTTTTTCTAGCTTGTTTGTGGTTACCTTTATGATGTAAGAATGGCTTGCCGAATCAAGTATAGGACAACCTCTATACCCTTGTGTGTAGGTTACGTGTCATTGTGCCATCGGAAAGGGGGTTCCTACATCTGTTTGCCGAGTGAATCTAATGACCCTAACTTGTTAGATGAACCTTTGAAAGGCTTAATAGTGAACCCTGTCGACCTTTCTTGAAAGTGGGTCAAGAGATTAGCTACCTCAGGCGAAACGGTAAATCACGACTCACAGTGAAAGTGTACAACCTCTGCAGATTATAAAACTGGTATATCAGTTGTACTCATGATCACGAGCGACCTTGAAACATTTACGGAATAGATGATCACTAATAGTTAATAATGATGAACACGGATGATACTAATGATGAAGATGCTCATTAATGCTTATTGTTTATGCTATTCATTATTCATATTTACCTGATCATGTGTTTATGGGTTTATGATAACTTTGTTGCCACCCTATTGCTAAAATCATGACTCAATAAAAGTTAATCGTAGTTAAACTAGTATCAGCCTTTTGAGCCTCATGAACCCCATGTTATATTTGTTGAGTATGACATCTATTTACACTTGCTTTATTTTTCACATATTTGGAAAAAAATTCCGGATGGATACCAGATTGCTAGAGTTTGGAGGAATTAGGCTTTGATCAAACAGTCAGTTGTCCCTATGAAATTAGAGTCTTCACCTGAAGATCGGAGTTTGTCTTTTTCCGCTGTTTGCTGTCTAAGGTTATATCCTTTATACTAGTACGTTATATATTGAGCATTATCTTTCGATATTACCCTTATTTGTAGCTATATGTGAGATTTAACTTTCTGGGCTCACATATGGTGCATATCTGGTTTTATTCTTAAAACCGGGTGCTACAACCGCCGTCGTCGCCGCATCTGCCATAGCCCCGCGTGTCGGAGGTGGTGCAGCGCGGGCATGGGTGCGAGGAGGTGATAGGGCGTGGGCAGAGGGAGGACGGCGCCGGGGAGGTGCTCGCCGGACGCCGGCCATGTCACCGGAGAGAGAGGACGGATGGGTAGTAGACGAGGGAGAGGTGTGCGGGAGGGGCGGACGGGTCCTATGCGAGGGAGAGGTAGAAGGCGTGCCCGCACCAGCCGTAAAGCGTGCTCGCGCTTAATTAAGCATTTCGTTTTTTCTTGCATGCTGTAAAAAAATCTTACCCTAACTCCTCACTGCTTAGAAAGTATCCGCGTGTAAGATATGTGATATATATATGGGCTTGCTAGGGTCGGGGCGTCCGGACAGATCTAGACACACGTCAGCATTACTTTTTGCACACCGTTTTGCGCGCCCACGCAGGGCCCACTTCGCCTCGAACGTCACGAGCATCGAGAAAAGGGGGAGACGACGGCGAATGCCTAGCCGACATCAGGAGGAAGAGACACTGAGGCGAGACAGTAGAAGGCAAGGCGAGTGATGCAACACATAATTTACTTTTGAAACATTCAAATGCAACACTTGCAACATAGGCAGATGAAACACTTAAAACATGCGTCTGAAACACTTGCAAAAACACTAAAAAACACTTGAAACCATTGCAAAAATATATGCAACATCCAGATAAAATGCTTATAACATATGTGTGAAACAAATGCAACCTCCAAATAAACACACGTGCAACATACGCCTGAAAAACGGATGAAACATTGGGAATAGAACCTTGCAACATATGTGTACAACCATTGCAACATATGCAACATCCCGATCTGCTTTTGCAACATCCATATAAAACACTTGCAACATACATATAAAACATCTGAAACATAGGCTTGCAACATACACTTTCAGCGTAGCATCTACTTTTTGCTTGGACGAATGAAGGCTCGTCTGCGGAGCTCGATGCCGTGGAGTGCCGCGGGGGGGGGGGTTGCCAGCGGGCGGGTGGTTGCGCGGCCCTGGTGAGCGACTCTGCGACCAACGACGACCTGGGACAAAAGGAGATGTCGTACGAGCCCCACCGTCATCGAACCATCCGCCCCGGATCCTTTGCCGCGCTATATGAAACATTA